TGAATTTTGTAATGCATGTCTTCATACATATCCATTTGTTCTTTTACTCCCTCTCAAATCCTATGTCCACACAGAGGATTTTCCACCATGCTTATGTTGGTTGTCCTACTGTCATGAATAATTTGGTTTTTCCCCTAGCCTCTATATCCTGTCCAACAAACACCATAAAGTTTATTAACCTTTTAGGTCCCACCTTGAAAGCTTTCCAGCCTTTACCTTCCAAACTGTTCTGTTCATTTTTTTTTATGGTCCTAATTAACACACCTGTTTCCTGGGTTCTTCCATTTCACCTTTTCTTGTTCAGTATTTTGAGGTGTGAACCATGTATTAAACCCTATAATCTGTAACAATGTTATGCCTACCTCATGCTGGGTATTCTGTAAGTACTCATTGAATGGGCAAGTGAGTAATTTGCTACATGAACATATAAGTTGTTTCATGATCAAACTTTAAAAACATGGTTGAAGGTCATTTGAATGGACTGAAATTTGAAATACATTAATTTATATAAAACACATGGCTTTTTATACAGACACGTTCAAGTACCATGCTAATGAACCTTGATAATGCATGTCAGAGGTTTTAAGCATCAACTTAGAACATTGGTATTGCTGTGAACCACTGCCGTATATTGCAAGAAATCTGTGCTTTTATTAGATATTATGTGGCTATTTGATTAACCATAATATATTGGTAAAAGGAACTTCAAAATTCTTAATATGAAATATGCCCTAAGTGAAATATTCTCAAGAATCTCCAGTTTACATTTGTAACTTTGAAGCTGCACTGTTGCAGGATTTGCTACATTCAGGTTATAGATTGCCGGTCCCTGTGTGCCAGATCAGCTCCCCATCAATGGACTGGTGCAGTTTAGATGATGGGAAAGGGAGCCTTTAACACTCTCTTTCCCCTGCTTCTCTGCTTGCCCATCCTCGCCTTCCCTGCCGCCCTTTCTCTTCCTTCTTGTATCTGTCATTGATCGATCTGGTTCATGAACAGTACTGTGGAACATGTTCAAATGTTCAAAGACCTGCATGCATCTTCAATTTATATTTTAAATAAATGTAAATAATATGAAATATCCCCTTTACATGACACTCTTGAGAAGGTAAGACTATAGATAGATTAAGACCATCTAGGTTTCCAACAACTTGAAAATAAAGAAAAGGGAAGACACAGAGAGGGAGGAGTGATGAGCAAAGGGATCGAGACCTGGCTGGGGAAACCCACAGAAACTGCTGACCTGAACGAGGGGGAGCTCATGGACTCCAGATTGACAGCTGGGAAACCAGCATGGGACTGACCCAGACCCCCTGAATGTTAGTGTTAGTTAGAAGGCCTGGGCAGTCTATGGGGCTTCTGGTAGTGGATCAGTATTTATCCCTAGTGTATGAATGGACTTTGGGAGGCCATTCCACATAGGGGGATACTCTCTCAGCCTAGACACATGGGGGAGGGCCTGGACCCTGCTCCAAATGATATGACAGACTTTGAAAATTCCTCATGAAATATCTATCCTCCCTGGGGAGCAGAAAGGAGATGGGATGGGGGTGGATGGGAGGATGCAGGAACTGGAATTGACATGTAAAACAAGCTTGTTTAAAAGTTAAATTAAAAAATATCAAGAAGAAGAACTGTCTCCCCATGTTTGCTATCCCTGCCCAGTGGTCTGTATCAGAAAGCGTTCTTGAAGGCCCATTGACCTTCCACTCAAGAACTCTTTGTTCCACATACTTGTCCCTTGATGTCAGGATGTTTTAAAGACATAGATCTGTGGGCACATAGCACATTATAATAGTCAAGGCTGTGTCCTTTGCAAAGAGGGTAGGCCCTTGTTGCTGATTTCTGTGGCTTAATAGAGTCCAATGTTTTTATCATTTGAAATTGTTGAGCTCTTTTGATACCCTAGAGTTGTCGAACATTCCAATTTTGGAAGCATTGATTGTGGAAATGACCAAGCTGTTAGTGGAAGTTCATGGTTTAGGCAGTTACAGTTAGTGGCCACTGTCGATTAATCGGGCATAGCAAGTCATCAACCCATCTGAAGAGACCTTGCAATTTAGGACACAAAGCAGAAGTTGAAATTATGATGGTCCCTGAAAAGCCTTTTAAGAGTTTGCTTCTTCCCTGGCAGTGGCACCAGGATCTAACCCAGGAGCATCAACTGACGTTTTTAGAGCCCATTCCCTACGCTCAGCTTAGATACGGTGTGTGTAGGGAGGTGGTCCTGTCTCACCTTGTATGCCAGTCTTTGTTGACTCCTCAAGGAAAGCCTTCCCTATGAGGAGTGGATGGGGTGGAAAGGGGGAAGATGGGGGCAGGAGAAGGGGAGGGAGGGAAACTGGGGTTGCTATGTAAAATGAAAAATACATTTAAAAAAGTTTGCTTCTTAAAACAATACTTAGCTCCTAGTCACACAGGTAGGAACTTCCCAACCCTACACACACACACACACACACACACACACACACACACACACACACACAGCGTTTTATTTATGTGAATAGCATCCAGAGTTTTAAAGATGTGACCTATATGTATGGCGTATTTAGATGTAATCAACACCCAACTCTGGTGTCCTTTGTAAGTTAATAATGTGCTAATTTCATTGCCATGACCTAAAAGAGTTGATACCATAAATAGGAATTCATGATCTTGCTTATCGAGAGACACTTGGGAATTCTTGGTTCAGTGTTTTTCCAGATTGTGTTTGCAGAAAGAAGTCAACAGACTATGTCAAGAGAGGCCACAAAGATCACCATGCTCCTTTAGTAGCCATAAGCTTGGTTGCGTTGGAAATTCCAGCAGGACCTTGTTTCTGCTTTGCGAACTAACACAAGGCTTCTGAAACAAAGCATAGTAACAGAAGCCACAGCCTTGTCTTCCGGTGTTGGCAGTGGGAGTTTGCCTGGTTTCTGTGTTATGCCCTCATTCTTCTCTTATCAAGCGTTGAATGAAAGGTGGCTGCTAAGCGGCAACAATTCAAAAGCAACCCTTTCTGCGTGCACATTCTTTCAGGGCTTCCAGGGTTGAAAACTACGATGTGGTCATGCCTGTGTTTTTAAAACCGATGGCTAGTTTCCCATAGAGTAGATGTGTAAAATACTCCATGACATCTTTCTATATTGCCAATCCTGTGTGATTTGTAGGCTTCAAAGAATTTTTGTGTGTCATTTCACACACTCCTAACTGAGCCCTAGAGGATGAACAGGGCACAGGCCACTCTAATAATTTATGGATGGTGATTCAGTTCAAAGAATTGCAGTAGGTTTTCTACAGCCACACATTTAGCATTCCCGAGAAAACAGGATCATAAAGCTAATGTTCCAGATTTCGCCCAGGAAACTCCACATAATAGGGGAGCATTATTGCTGGCAGCCAAACATGTATTGCAATGCTATCACAATATAGATGTCATGCATTTTGCAATTTATGTTCTGGTGGTAGCAGATAACATGTTGAACTTCTAAGTCTTACTGTTAACCTCTTGATTGCAGGGAATTTCTCTGTTATTCTTTCCTCTAGTTTCTTCTTAATCTTATTTTCCAACAGGAATTTTAAGACTTGACCTACATTCTATTATTAAAACATTACCTATTTCTCTTTTCTGGAAGAGATACTCACAAATATAATTCAGTGTTATGTTCAAACTATTAAATATCACTGGGTTTACATGGTCAGAGATCTTTTTAAAGCCACCTTGCCATTTCCTCTGGCAAAAGATATGATCCTGTAAATGTCCAGAGTGTGTTTTTGCCCTATGAACTCATGTTGACATGGAGGATGATGCGGTCAGTCATAAGAAAGTGTTTAAGGAAATTGTTTCACATCCATACGCTATCTCTATCTGTGTTCTCCATCTGTCTGTATCCCTGTCTCTATCTGCATTTCCCATCTGCGGTGGTTTGGATTTAACTGGCCCCCATAAGCTCATAGAGAATAGCACAATTATGAGGTGTGGCTTTGTTGGAGTAGGTGTGGCCTTGTTGGAGGAAGTGTGTCACTGTGGGCTTTGAGTTCTCACATATGCTTAAGCCATGACCAGTGTCTCAGACCATTTCCTGTTGTCTGCTGATCAAGATGTAGGTGTCTCAGCCTCAGCACCTTGTCTGCCTGCATGTCACCATGTCCCACCATGATGACAATGAACTAACCCTCTGAAATTGTCAGCTACCCCATTAGATATTTTCCTTTATGAGAGTTACCCTGGTCACATGTGTCTTCACAGCAACAGAAACCCTAACTAAGACACTGCCTCTATCTGTATTTCCATCTCTGTTTGTATTCCTTGACTCTTACCTGTATTTCCATCTCTGTCTGTACCGTCTGTCTCTATCTGGAACCCCACCTGCAGACAGATCTGCTGTCTTCTTAATAAACACTAGCCTTTAGGAATGGTCTCCCAGGGCATCGTGTCAGGCTTTGCTCCCACGTTTCAGAAGCTCAGATAGAAAGTGCTTTCCCTAACGCCTTTGCAGCTATACATTTATTGGGTATCAAGTAGTGAGTGAATCATGATTCTTTTTGACATTGAAAAATTCGTATATTAATACAAATTGGATTTTCACCCACAAAGATCCACATGCTGATTCTAGTCTTTCTCTTTACCTTTAAATAGAAAGACTAATTTTGCAGTGCAAACAGAATGTTTTATTGCATTCTTTCAGTATTATGAACTCCAGTAGGAATTAACACAGAAGCCTGATCAACACTGATACCTGGATTCCCAGCAGCACAATAAGGAAAAGAAAAAGAATCGTCAATATCCAGAAGGCAAACTATTGGGTTAATTTTAATGAAACCATGCATACTGTATTTAGGAAAATTTAGGACACTCCTCAACCTTGTAATATTCTCAAAAACACACAAATACTGAATACATCCATTTAAAGAAACCCATCACTCAGTTCACTATGCAGCTAGAAAACAGAAATGTGTCTGACATTTCACCTTAAGGATGTTGCCTGAATGTGATGCCCATCTCTCCTCTATCCTTTTAGATGGTTATGTTCGTGCTGCAACTGGGCAGTACCACGTTCCTAGTTACAGAGCCTGTGATCAGCGCCATGACCACGGGGGCCGCCACCCATGTTGTGACTTCACAAGTCAAGTATCTCTTGGGAATAAAAATGCCATATATATCTGGACCGCTGGGATTCTTTTATGTAAGTTTTACAAGTGTCTCTTTGAGTGCATGCTTCACACAATTGAATTTAGCTTACCGTAGTACTGAATGTTTTCCGTATCACAGAAATTGGGTTTACATAAAAATATAGGATGTTTTAAATGTGATGTGTGTATGAAACCAGTTCCATGGGTACAATCTACTGATTTTGGGAATCATTCCTTATAGTGAATAACTGAGAATAGGTTGGGTGACTGATGAGAAGAAGCGCCTGTGTATTTTTGTGAGTCAGATCTACTGCCAAGTCCTAATGAAATCCATCTACCAGGCTTTTGATCCACTAATAACAGCACACTTTATCACATTCTTTCAGAATTGTGAACTCCAGTAGGGATCAAAACAGAGGTGTGGTTGGTACTGGCAACTAGAGCCCAGTAGCAGACAATCAGCTATTAAAAGCCCCCTGAACTTGAGAGAAGAATGATTGACCAGTTTCAACGTATTTCCATAATAGCATTCCTTTGCTTCTGCTTTCTTTGGAGACTTGACTTAAGATCCATGACTGCTTAGGACTTTGCATTCAGTTTGAACTTTGCAATATTCAAGTAATGCGGCAAACAAACTTCATTTTACTCAATTTTATGCATTACTGTATTCTAAGCAATATTAATGTTTATAGCAAGAGTTGTGTCACCCTTCATCTTGAAGGTAATCGAATAGCAGCCAGTTATGTGGAAGTACAATAACGCGTTGGCCTCATTTCTGCTTTGGAAGTTATCGCTGGTACATCTCAATTTCTCATGCTGCAATGGGGATTCACATCATCCACATTACATTGCTGACTTTTTTTTTTTCCTCCTTTTTCTCATGTGTATGTGTGTTCTCATGTGTGTGGGCACACATGTGGACACATGTATGTGGAGGCTGACTCTGACTTCAGTAGTTTTCCATCTTTGTATCTTATTCATTTGCACAGGGTATGTTGCTGAACCCAGTTCTTGAACATGGCTGATTTAGCTATCCAGTTTGCTCTGGAAATCCTTCCTCTGTATTCTAAACATTGGAATTGCAAGTAGGCCCCTTGCCTGCCTGGCAGTTACACTGTTTAGGGATGTCATTCTTCTTGCTTGGCTAGCACTTGAACTTCTGAACCATCTCATAAACCCTAGTAATGGCTTATTTAATACAGATTTCAAGTTTTGGAATTACTGTATCAAGATGGTATAATATTTTTACCAAATTTCTGTCAGAAAATTTCATCATATTGATATTTTTCTCCAACTTTATCATTGCCAAGGCTGGTTGTTACTGTTTTTAAAAAGTACCAAATATCTGTGGAGTGGGCTGTGAAGTCCTTTGGGCTGATGTCAAGAAGTGGCATACCTGGACCGTAGGAAGATAGAAAATGGAGAAATGTAGTAATTATAGTATAATTTCAAAAGTAAAAGGATAGAAGGTTCTAAACAGAGTGCATGAATATGTGGGTTTCTCAAAGAGTTAATACAGCACTATTTTCTCCAGTGTGAGAATAAGAGAGATATGCAAAAATTCTCCTTAATGGTGTTGTATACATGTATTGTTTGGGACATGCGCCCAGCACTAAAGAGAAGGGTTTCTGAATCATTGCCCTCCTGAGGCTCTTCTGTTAATATATCAGACAGAAATGACCAAGCATACACAAATAAACACAAATTGGAATACATGTTATGAAATTTAAAAATGACCAGCTTGGTATTTGAAGATAAAGTATCAGTTGTTTTAATGTCCCTTTATCTGCTTCAGCAATAAAATAGTACTAAAGCCACAGTAATTGGTGGCAGGGTGTTGCAAGTTGGTTCTGAAGTTTTGTTGCTTAGGTAATATATGGCTCAGTGATTCATTCATTGCAAGAAAGCTTAAAATCAAAACAAGAAAACTGGAGCTGTGCCTGGAAGTAACTTAATTCCATGCTCCAACTCAAACAAAAACAGACCAAAGTAGCTGTAAGCCATCAGATGACTGGCTGAAAGTTAAGACCTTTGGTGACGCCCAGTCTACAGGACAGAAAAAAAGTGGAGAAGATTCTGCTGCGACCTGCCTGGGAACAGTGCATTAATCTGCACATGTGCAAAGAACAAAACACACACGCGGGCCCTGTTTGATCATATCTATGTAAACAGATGATCCTATGTTTTCAGGAGTGTATTTAAAAAAAAAAAAAAAAGCCACACCAAATTGGGAATGACACCCACATACTCTTGTTACTCTGTGGACTTGCTCCGTGAAGTATTAATTATGTATGTGATTTTCTCTCTCACAACTTTTTTTTTTTTTTGTGAGCTTAACTGCTGGTTACTTTAGCTTATCAAGATCAAATACTGTGGGGCCTTTGAAAATCTTTTGTAAGATCTCACACTGAAACTGAGTCACATTTAGGTACATGCTTAGATTGCAGATTTTAAGTTCATACTCCTCAGCTACTGGAAGATGCAATGCTTTGTTCTGATGGAAACTTTTAAAAAATGTTAATCTCGATGCCCCGTCCGAGGACGTTGTGCTCTTTCTGAGGTTCTTTGGCAGTGACCATTCTTTGTTCTTGGTCAGTGTGCTAACCCTTCTGTATCAAAAATCAAAGAGATTTAAGACAGGAATGCCACTAACTAGTAATCCCAGCTCTTGAGAAGCTAAGGAATAAAAACAAAACAAAAGTCCCAGGCCAGCTTGGAATGCGTAGTGAGTTACTGGCTAGCTTGATCTACATAGTGAATTAACAGCCAACCCATCCATATGTGTAGTGTGACTCTGTCAAAAAAAGAAAAAAAAAAAAAAAAGCAATGTAGTAAGTTGAGTAATAGCTGAAAATGATCACCGTGGTAAGTTGAAAACAGTTTTAGTGCAGTTTAGCTTAGAGAATTTGTTGATGAGAATGTAAATCAGAACTTGTTCCTGCTTATTTAAGTCAAACCTAAAAGAGGACTTGAACTCAGTATTGCAATACAGAGGACATGAAATCATTCAAGGCCTTGACCATATTGTCAAAGCACTTGGAGGAAGGTCAATGAACATCATTTGGGGCTTTTGTTTTCTGACTGATTTCTTCTGAGTTTTCAGCACTCTTATATCCTATGTGAAAGCGATACACCAGTGATATGCTTTGTCACATAAATTAATGTATAGACTATTCTATAAGCTTGACTAATGAGACTGCCACAGATATTAATAGTCTGGGACACTGGTTTTTATTTTTGAAAATCAAGTTTAGCTTGTATGTCCTATAATTCATTCCAGTAGCATTGCTCTTTACCATTACTTTTGAGAGAAAACACTGTTCTTTTGTTCAGTTCCTCTAGTCTGCAGTAGATAGCATTTTCTGATGCTTACAGCTATGGCTGCCCCAGTCCCTCCTTCCTTAGGGATGCTGATCTGTGCGATAAAGAAAGGCCTGTTATCTAAGTTGAATTGATAGCATCTCTATCCATCAGCTTCTGTGGACTTGAAAATGTACTCCACTCAATGAAACTCTTTCAACAGACAATTTAAATTAGATCTACGAAGCAATATAACATTAGGTTTGTTCTCTTGTATTTAGAAGGATCTTCTAATTGTTTTGAGGGATAGACATTGCTACAGTTTGGATGTAGTAATGTCAAGGGGCAGGATTTAACATAAAGGCATGTTCCCCAGCCTTATGGAAAGTCATAGCATCTTTAAAAAGTGGGGCCTAGTGGGAGAAGACCAGTTTCTCTTGTTTTTTCCAAATCAAAAAATGAGCAGCTTTTCCCACTGCCATAACTTGCTGCCTTTGCTACAGACTGGTAAGCAAAGGAGCTAAATGACCATGGACTGAAACCTCTGAAACAGTGAGCTGAGAGAAATCTTTGCTCTCTGTAAGTTGAGTGTCTCAGATGTTTGTTACAGTAGTGGGAAAATGGCATGACAAAAATTCCAGCCAAGCACCCCTAGCCACTCTTTGACTTCTAGCTGAAAGTTGTTAACAAGTTTGCTCATGGCAGCAGGGGTTTATAAATACTACTTGCTACTCTGAGTGGCCACCCAAAATTTAGAGGTTCCCCATATTTATAAGAGACTTCAGAATAACTCTCATACCCCCTGCATTAGTCAGGATTCTTCTGAGGAACAGAACTGATAGAATGAAAAGAAAGAAAGAAAGAAGCCATTTATATCTATGTCTTGGGGTTTCTATTGCTGTGAAGAGACACCATGACCACAATAACTCTAGTCAAGGAAAAAAAATTAAATTTAATTGAAGTGACTTACAATTTTGGATGTTTAGTCCATTATCATCATGGCAGGACATGGTGGCATGCATGTAGACATAGTACTGGAGAGGAGTTGAAGGTTTTACATATTGACCTATAGGCAATACGAAGTGAACTGAGTCACTGTGAGTATAGCTTGAACACAGCAGACCTCAAAGCCCACCCCCATAGTAGCATAGTTCCTCCAACAAGGTTGCATCTATTCTAACAAAGCCATACCTCCTAATAGTGCCATTCCCTTTGGGGGGGGGTCACTTTTTTAAGCCACCACAGTACACACACACACACACACACACACACACAAACACACAAACACACACACACAATTTAATATAGTCACTTACAGGTTGTGGTCCAGCTAGTCCAACAACCAAAAGGCCAATCGAAAAGTTGCTCAATCCATGAGGCTGGATATCTTATCTGGCCTTCATTCTACATTGGAAGCATGAAGAAATAAGCTCTTGTGACAGTAAAAGAACACCCCACCATCAGGATAGATGAGCTTGGCAGCAAGAGTGGGAGTAAGCAGGGAAAAAGCAAAAGTTTCCTTCTTCCTTACCTGTGCGTGCGTGCGTGCGTGCGTGCGTGCGTGTGTGTGTGCGTGTGTGTGTGTGTGTGTGTGTGTGTGTGTGTAGGCCGGCAACCAAAAGGTGTGGCCAGATTTAATGGAGGTCTTTTCTCCCTAAGTGATCCAATCAAGACATTCCCTCCCAGGTGTGTTCAATTGCTTGGGGTTTTATTGATTCCAGATGGGTGTAGTCAAGTTGACAACCTTGATCAG